GTGACAGCTAGTGGAATCCCGGAAAATAAACCGTGGAACTTTGACCAATGAGACACCAGTTTACTCGCGCGTGACTTGTATTAACAAATTTGGTCCGTTTAGAAACTTTACCGTTTGAAAGCGAACCGCACCAAGAATAAAAAGCAACACTGTAATAATTTGAATCCCTGTTTCGGAACAAAGCAATCGATCTACAAGGGTGAAAGTACCCTAAGATGAGGCATGGCATAGGCCTGCATGCTGTATTGGGCTATATAATGACTAATAAATTACAGAAGTTTAGCAAACACTGAGGAATCAAAAAAAAAGAGAGAGAGCCTCCATAGCATAAGGTGAGGTAAACAGCAAAGATAAGCTTTTCAAAATGAAAACAAAACAAAAAGGAAAGTAAAACTAAACTTGCTGCCGGTGACAATGTTAACAAAGTTAAATGACAAATTATCCTAACAGTTCAAACAGTGAAGCCGTATTGTGGAAGGGCTTGGCTGTCATTGTTCATTTATAAGGCTGTAACAGCAAACGCTGAATACAGATTGCTGGAGAAGACACTCGTATAACAGACTGTGGACCGGACAGACCATTAGCTTCAGACAAAGCTTCCCCTTCACCTGGTTTTTCCTGCCACCAAATTGTTTATGATGTGTATAGATAATAGATTACACTAATATATTTCAGCCTAACCCTGGAGCTGGTTCACCCTCCGCCTATGGATTCAGAAGTGGAGAGGTCTTGGCAGTGGCGTAACTTTGCTTTGAAAAGTGGTGGGGACACCGCGCAACTCGTTTTGCTAGTTTTTTATTTAATAAACTTTAAATTTTATTTTTGCTTTTCAAAAATACATCGATGTACCAGGGGCAGCACCAGAGAATTTTGAACGCAGGTGCTGAGGGGGTGCTAGATCATTGACAGAGAGAGCTGGGCAATTCAGGGCTCCAGACTCATTCTTCCCACTGGTCGCTCTTTTGCGATTAACTTTCTCAGTTGGCTGCACGAGCACGTTTTTTTTTGCCTACAACATGCTATTAATCAATGCATGCTGATGAACTTTTATCGTAGTTTATAGTTATATGGAAACGAAAGTAGTTAACATTCAACCCGTTCTTTTTCATCAGTAGTATTATTTATGAGTTGAATTTTGTGAACGGGAGTTCCTCTTTTGCCATGTTATAAACCGGGCTTCAGATGCTTTCACTTTCGATTTCACGATCTTGTCAGGTTTTACAATAAAATATAATTGTCTGTTTTGCTTACATCTATACCCCTTTCCCCTTTTAAGAAAAAAAAAAAAAGATGGATTCATTATTTTTAATTAAAAAGCACAACAACAATAAAACAGTAAGATTCAATGACAAACTAGCTTACAAAACGTTATTAACAACAACGAATAAGATGAGGCATGGCATACACCACATGCTGTATTATATACCGACTAATATTACAGAACGTTTAGCAAACACTGAGGAATCAAAAAAAAAAAAAAAAAAAGAGAGAGAGCCTCCATAGCATAACGTGAGGTAAACAGCAAAGATAAGCTTTTCAAAATGAAAACAAAACAAAAAGGAAAGTAAAACTAAACTTGCTGCCGGTGACACTGCTTGCATGTTTTGTTTTTTCCCCCACAAGAATACCAACATGTTCACCTTCTCTGGTTTAAGAAGCGGTCTTTTACTTTACTTAAGCCTGAAAACCATCAATATTCGCGTCATTTTTGCTGAGCGCACCTTCTGCAATTAATAGTAAATATAACCAAAACAGGTCATTATAATTTTTATATGAATAATAAAATAAATATAAGGAAAACTCGCCCACTCGATTTTGTAATATTCTTTAATTTTGTAGTCCGTATGAAAAGGTGCATTTCTATTAAAGGCACGTCCATGTGGAGATGGCGATCAGCGTCGGCAACCTCATCTTTGCACCCAAGTCAAGTTAGCTTCTCCTGAAATCACCAGGTCCATCTTATCAGCTACAAGACAAGACAAACCTGATATTCTGGTTGCAGACTTGTTTCTGAATATCATGATGTTAAGCGTAAGTGTACCTGTATTCATCCTCTGTGTCAGTCTAGTAGATCAGTACTATTTTTATTCAATTTTAAGTGATTTTATTTTATTTTTAAGCTGGGGACTATTTTCAGACGCTGCGTAATATCATTGCGCAAACTCTTTGGTCATTTTTGAGCGAGATGCTAACGGTCTAATCAGATTCAATGATCTATGCTAAGCTACAGCTAAAAGTGCTACCGCCAGACCCGGAGATCGGCTGAATGGATTCGAAAACGGTAAAACTCAACTGTTTAACTCTAGGGGAGTTGGAAAATGAGCCTGTTTTCAAAAATAGTGGAGTGTTCCTTTAAGCGATTTAAGACTGGTTTTGTGCTCCAGGGTCACAAATGTAAATTGTGACGACATATTAATTTATTTTCAAAGCTAAAATTTCAAGAGTTGAAGTGTCATGAAAAGCTCATCATACATTCACACTTAAACAGCTAATAAAACTATTCTGAAATGTCTAATAAGTTCTTAAAAAAACGTAAACGCCTAATAAAGCTCTATAAAAAAAAGTTGCTAAACAACTAAGAAATTCTAACATTTGTTCTTAAACATCAAGTTCTAACAAATTTGTACATCTAATACAATTTTAACATTTGTTCCCCTGACATTTTATTTAGTTGTTATAGAAGATGAATCCATGGCTCCGCTCTCAAAACTGAGAATTGTTCTGCTGGGTTGGATCATGTCTGGGAAGAGTTCAGCACCAGACACTATTTTTCATAATAAAACGTTTGAAATAGATGGTACAAAAAAGTGCTCTGGTAAAGTAAATGGCAGGTCCATAACTAAAATAAAGAGAGAAGTAAGCAGACTGGAAGCAATATTAATGGACGGGATCTTGAACATCCAGAATCCTGAAGCATCTCGTGGTGAGTTATTTAGCTTGACATAAATGACTTTCCAAATTATTTTCCTTAATTTTATATAATTTGATTTGACACTGCATGTCAGTTTCTATCCAGATGATATCCTCCGCTACACAGATGACGATACGAGTGTAAATGAAAAGGTGTTTTGGTGGCTTCAGACATATGAGGAATACAGCACCAGCACGTCTGAAACATCGGGATATAAAACAGAACGAAATGATCCAGTTGAACAGAATCCAGAGGTGTCTATCAAAACACTTATAAAGCCAGGTGTAGACCGATGTCGACGTAGTGTGTCCTGGTCAGTGTTGGGGAAAGTTACTTTTTAAAGTAATGCATTACAATATTGCGTTACTCCATAAAAAAGTAACTAATTTACTAGTTACTTGAAAAAAGTAATCTGATTACGTAACTCGCGTTACTTGTAATATATTACCCCCAACACTGGTCCTGGTGACATACTTTTCATCATTTGGGGGTCCGTGGAAGTCTGCGCACACCATTAAACAAGTTGAAATTTAAGGCAGAAGAGTCAAGAGTCAAGAGGCATTTATTTATCATTTGCATAGTTAACACTGGGGAAAACTGGGCATTGAAATGCTTGTGACGAGGCTCAGACATACAGTGACAATAACAGGACCATACAAAAAAAACACAGATATAGACGTACGTGGAGGGCACTGAGATATTGAGTGACTTCAGTGACCATAGGCAGAACAATAACACAGACAGAGCATTAAATACAAATAAGTGGCAGTAACAGATACAATAAGGGTAGACGACAGTGTTAAGAGTTTTAAGTAGTCCTGAGGTACTGATATAAGAATATTGGGGGTAGAGCAGTGTCCAAAATGTCATTGTAGAGTGTCGCAGAGCTACACGAAAGAAAATTAAAGTGGCAGTTCAAGTACAATAAATAATAAACTTAAGAGCAGCATGTATTCCAGTTTTAGATGACATCCGGCCGTTGACTCTCTTGAAGGCCTTACTCACTTCGAGTGTGTTTAGAACTAAAGGGCAGGTGTCAAGAGTCCACTATGTGTCAATATGCACAGGTGTGTTGAACTCCTTCATCTGCGCTCATCCACAGTTGAGTATATTTTGGCCTTGTCTCAAATGGCACACTTCATGTGCACTTGCATCCCTGTGGACTTTCAGTGGATGCCACATGCTTGTGTCTGTTAAATCCACGAGACCGCAGGGTGTCGCATTCATCATTTTAGCTTTCTGATGAGCACTATGCGCCCTCGATGCGAGTCAAAACAGCATACATCACAAAAGTGTGGACTCAGGAAAAAAAAAGTTCAGGAAAAAGTGTTCGAGACAGAATTATTTGTTTTACATTATAATTCTTATCTGAAACAACATACAGAACTACCAAATTTCGCTATAAGTTGATTGCATCATATAATAATTGCTGTTAATAGTGTTCATCGTCTGTTTGATCACGTCTTTAATTGATTTTATTGATTGATTGTACATTAACTGACAGTCACCACTGATAAGCTACTACTAAATATATTATAGAAACATATATTGTACAGCTGCTTTGAAACAATTTGTATCGTAAAAGGCACTATACAAATAAACATGAATTGAAAATAGTATAATTTGTAGTAATTGTTAAGTTATGATTTAGTACAGTTAATGTGCAGTAACCTGAACAAGTGCAGAAGACAGTATGAGAGACTGGGGAATGTGAAAATATCATATCAATATAAATGCACCCTTTGAACCAATAAAAACCTGTATAAAACACCTTTCAGAGATTTGACTGAATCCTGATTCTTTTCTGATCATATAGTGCTTTCTCTAAAGACACCACGGTTCAGGTTATTTTCTGTCATGGAATCACTACAGAGTAAATAAAAATAGTTTTGATTCAGGTTTGTTGACTACCTTCACTGGTGAATTTTTTATTAAAATTTTTTTTTTTTGACAGATGCTTTCATCCTTCAGTACGTCATTGTACTGTGGACTATTCCTTATTCCACAAAAATGCTTCTATGTTTTACATGAATTACGTAAGTGTAACAGCTTTTTACTTTTTACATGACTGTTTTATCAGGTTAAGAAATATAACCTTTTGTCATCCTAACAACAACAACCAGAGCGATGCGTAATGGAGTGCAGCAGAGAAGTGCAAGATTTTCAAAAACTTTTGTGTTTGACAGAATAAAATCACAGTACACAGGGTTATATAAATGTATGGGAGCTCCCGACACCAAGACAAATTCCTTGTGTGTGTTATAATTTTGTAATGTATAGAGTCTAATGAGGTGCTTATGCCTGGAATTGAGGACCTATTCAGATGTTCCAAATATTGTTATACTAATTTTGTGATGCATAGAGTCTAATGAGGTGCTTGTGTCTCTATCCCCAGTTGTGTTTTTTATTTATTTTATTTTTTATTTTATTTTTTAAATAATTAATACATATCGGTAACTTTGAGAAGTTTCAACTCACACTTTTTAAAAATATATTTTTTATTTATTTTTTAATTTTTTGTGGTGTTTCTGACTTTTTTGGGATGGGACATTGAATATGTTCTTCACCTGTAAAGCTAAATACAACTTTGTAATATGCTATCTAAATTCACTTCAATGGAAGAGACTTTTATTATTTATTATTTAATAATTTTTTTTATTTATACTTGTTTTTTAATCAAAGGAAAGTTAAAGAAAAAGCACACAGAGAAACAGATTACATTTCCAATGAAGGCCATTTCTAGGCAATAAAGCTGTTTCTGATTCTGATTTTTGGAGGAACAGTAAGTTTTCGTCTGTTCTGTGACATATATTTTGAAATTAGCATGTGCTTCAGGGACTTTTATTTTGAAATCCTCGCGGTTGAGCGTCTGCAGTGAGAGTGTAGCGGCTGGCTGTTTGTCATGACAGGAGAGGATTTAACATTCCTGTGATCGGGTAAGATCTGTGATTAAAGTGATTTATAACATTAAGAGTGATTATGCGATGATATCGATATAAAGAACGAAAGCGAATGATATAAATCAGATATTTATGATTAGATATCATGTGTCCGCTGCGCTAAAGCTAAAAGCTTATGTCACCTCTGCAAACATTTGACAGTTAAGCTAACGTTAACGTTACTTACAACTGTAGTTTTTGAATTACCAGAGAGCAAATTAATCGTGTCTTTATGGAGTTAACGTAAATAAATATACATTTTAACAGGGTAGAGGTTATAAAATGTAGTTTTAAATACATCTCTGCTTTATACTCGTGATAGGATTATATAAACATCGTGTTTTGATTTAATTTCGTTCTGAAGTCACCAGATTTTGCCGGCTTTAAGACGCTTTTTAGCACATTTCTGCATGAATAATCATCATGAGTTACTTTCACTTTTGTATTCCTGTGTGACAGGGATTTTTGTAACATTTACTGTGTGCCGTCATGGAAAAAACACGGTACTGAATGTTTACCATATTTATATACCGTGGTATTTACATGGTACTTTAAAGAATACACGGCTAGTATAATTGCACATGTCCCAAAAATTGGTAATGCTATGACTTTTTTTTTGTTAATGAAAGGAGTTTCCAGATTTATTAACCTCGAAAATAAATATATTGTTTTATTTGCAGTTTTCGGCTCTGATGTGAAGGTCTTGAAGATAAGAGTGAGCAAATTTAATTTATAAATAAAGTAATGAGAATCCATAATAACATCTCCTGAACTTGTCTCCTTTAGTAATGAATTTTATATTTTTTGCGACTTAAGTTTTAGTATAATTTTAGTTTTCTTTTTTTTAAAATCATTTTTATTTATTTTTTATTATTAATATATATATATATATATATTTTTTTTTTAGTACTTCAACTTAACCTAAACAAAAATAAGACATGCTGACTTGGCAACTAGCTGAAATAAAATCATTAAAAAATATATTCTTATTTCAGACCATGTTTCTTCTATGTCATGTGATGAAAATGTTTTGTATGGATTTAGTTTTAGTTTCAGTTACCGATAATAACCCTGTTCCTGATCTCATCGGATTCTCATCGATGTTTCTCTGAAATGTTCTCCATGCAGGTGTGGAAATGGAGCAGTCAGATCCTTCTCCGTTAAAGCGTTTTGTTCAGGCCAAAAAGAAGATCGGCGAGGTTTTTGAGCAGCTTTTAGTTTACGTTCAGGAGGGAACGGAGTTTGTAAAAGGTTTGAAAATATCCCACAGATCCTCCATAGACTTGCATTAGAAAAGTTGCATGGATAAGTACTGTAGTGTTGATAGTTGCATGTGTTTTGTTTACTGTTTTGTCTCAACAGAAACCTGTAATAATGAGTCATTGGAGAATATTGCAAACAAGACACAGCTGGATGAGATCGAGGCGTACACGAGCCACCTCTTCAAAATTAAAGAGGTTTTATCTCGCAATCACATGAAGGTGGCCTTTTTCGGCAGGTGGGTTTTGTGTTTGACCACAAGTTGCATTAAAGAAGCGTTTCACTTCCGTAAATGTAATAAACGTGCTCTGTTTGTTACAGAACAAGCAATGGTAAAAGCACGGTTGTCAACGCGATGCTGCGTGACCGTGTGCTTCCCAGCGGCATCGGCCACACCACTAACTGCTTCCTCAGCGTGGAGGGCACGGACGAAGACAAGGCCTTTCTCAAGACCGAAGGGTCCGAGGAGGAGAAAAGCATCAAGGTGCGGACAAATGCATGCTTTCTCTCAGAATTTGCTTGAATAGCGCCCTATGATTTCTGGAAAACACGAATACAGTGAACATACATAAAAAGTAGGGCTGTAAAATGAATTAAATTGCAATATGGACTAGTGTCTGTGAATATTTAAGCACAAAGAGATTGATATATGAAGTCTTTGTGTTCTGATACACACAGAAAGACAAAGATCTTCAGTGCAACCTGCCAAAATAAAGGTTCGGCTTAACTTGAATAAATGATGACAGAAATACATTACTGTTGCACAGTAGATTGAACTTCTCAAAGTAATAATAATAGTAGAAATAATACCATTTATTAAACATTTTGACAGAAATACCATTATACAGTGGAATGTACTTCTCAAAAATAGATTTTAAAGGCCTTTCTCATTGGGAATGTTTAATTATTAAATTAAAAGTTTAATGAAATCAATTGATAATTTAAATTTAGTTAAGCAATTATCATTAACATGGAATCCAGAAAAAATGAAAACACAGAACTGGGGATAAAATACGAACAAACAAACCAACAATAAATAAACAAACAAACAAACTTATCAAAGTTTGATTTCGATGACCCCTTTTATTGTAAAAGTTTAAATAAATTATTAAATTGCAAAAGTTGATCATGAAATCAATTAAAAAGATATACTTTTTATGTAATTCAGTACTGTTTTTGTTAATAAAGCACTATTTTAGTTTTTGTTCAGTATCAATTTTAAAACAATCGGTTAATTAATCGGTATCGGCCAGTGTGGTCCAACCTAGCTATCGGTATCGGCAAAATCCACTATCGGTCGACCTCTAATTAAGACATTAAGACGGAATACAGGAACATTAAAATTCATAGAATTAGGGAAAAAATAAAAGTTTGAAAATGAAGAAAAAAATCTCAAAGTTTGATTTCAAATGCCCCCCTGAATGTAAAATTATGTAAAAGTTTTATGAAATCAATTAATGAAATATACTTTCTGGTTCAAACAGGCGCAAGTGTTAAAATGGCAAAAATAATAGTGTCTTTAGTCATAAAAGTACTTTTTTTCTGCAGACGGTGAATCAGTTGGCTCACGCACTACATATGGATGAGAGTCTGGATGCCGGCTCTCTGGTCAAAGTGTTCTGGCCCAAAACAAAGTGTGCTCTGCTCAGAGACGACCTGGTTCTGGTGGACAGGTACACTTCAGTCCCACGAAAAGCCACGTTTGTATGTTTAACATGCAGTAAATTCATCTGAAGATCCACCCATAATTACAATCCTAGTGTTATCAAGCTGTCAGCAGTGACACATCCTGAATATAATTGATTATAATCAGGTGACTGACTTATTATTTTAGTAGAAATACACTACCGTTGAAAAGTTTGGGATCTGCATAAAAAAAAAAAAAAAAGTATTTTCTGCTCACCAAGGCTGCATTTATTTGATCAAAAATACAGTAAAATTGTGAAATATTATTACAATTCAAAATAACGTTTCTATGTGAATATCTGTTAAACTATAATTTATTTCTGTGATGCGCAGCTGTATTTTCAGCATCATTACTCCAGTCTTCAGTGCCACATGATCTTCAGAAATCATTCTAATATGCTGATCTGCTGCTTTCTGATTATTATCAATGTTAAACTGCCCAATATTTCTGTGGAAACTGTGATACATTTTATTTTTCAGGATCCTTTGATGAATAGAAAGTTCAAAAGAACAGCATTTATTTAAATAGAAATATTTTGCAACATTATGCATGTCTTTACTGTCACTTTTGATCAATTAAATGCATCCCTGATGAAGAAAAGTGTGATTGACTCCAACCTTTTGAAGTATCGTGTATATTTTTGTGATGTTTTCTTTCAGTCCTGGCACTGACGTCACCACACAGCTGGACAGCTGGATCAAAAAGTTCTGTGAGGACGCGGATGTGTTTGTGTTGGTGGCCAACTCTGAATCTACTCTAATGAACACGGTGAGTCGTTAGCATGCAGTGCGTAAAGTGTGAGAAATGAACACTGCATTATGAGCAGTCCAACATTAGTCAGACCGGTCTGGAGCGGCTGTGAAGTGTTTATAGTGTGCTAATATGGGAAAGTATGCGCGCAGGAGGGGTTGCTCAGAGTTTGTTTGCGTGCCGTTCAGAAGAATGCAGCGCTGTGTTTAGACTGAACTCTGCTCGTACCCACATGCATGCTATCCCAGGACACTTTGGTGGATTTCAGGGCCGCTCTCTAAAGGGCAGATAAACACCCCGTTATAAATCATCAGAACTTTTCTCCATGGAAAAACATGACAAAACCAAACTAGCTTTTTGTATTTATTGTCTTATAATGGGAAGGGAAAATAATAAATTATATTGGAATGGAATTCCAGCCGAAGTTGCATGGTGTGTATACTGTGCACAGTCTGCAAATTTTCTGCATGCATTAAATACCTAATGCATTTTCCAAAATGTGCAATATACAACACAGATTAATCTTAGTCTCCATTCTGAAATTTAACGCCTGGTTTTTATGATTTCATGATGACATATGCTCTACATTTCTTTCTTTTTATATATTTTGTTTTACATAGAAATAAAGCTAAAGTGGTTGGAAACGCTGTTTGACATTGAGAATGGAACATAGTTAGGTCAACAATGTTACAGTGTATTGCTTGAAACATTTATTGTTGCATAATGCAAGGGATTTAACGGATTAAATGAAATGTATAAAATTATATCTTGGAATGTTGCTGTAAATACTGTTGCTGTGTACAGTAGGGGTTGAACGACTTCTGATTTTTTTAAGCTATTTTATTGAGAAATCACAGAACAGTGTTGACTACATTTCCGCGCTGAATGATTATGTGCGCGTGATGTACGAGCTACTGTCTGTAATGTGTGTGCGTTACAGTGCAGCAGCGCATTAGATTAGAACGGCGATTAACTTACCTGTACAATAAGCTGTTTAAAACGTGCATTCTCCCGTTCAATTTTGAGCATCCAGTACTATAATCACACGTCTTGTGGAGCGCTTTCAGAGTATGCATTTATTTGTCATTTGAACTGTTTGGAAACGGAGCGTAAATGTGGAAGTCCTTCAAAGATTTCTTATCCTGTTGCGCCCTCTATAGGACCAGCGACTAGTCGACGTTAAGCTTAAAGCGTCATGGCAGAGCATTGAAGTCGACTAGTCGATTAGTCGGTGCAACCCCTAGTGTACAGTGAAATAAGCATAGATATGTGAATGTTTTAATGCATTTCTTTGGAAAAGAACATACCATGTGAAATAAAATGTAGCAGACAACATAAAACAAATCAATATGTCATAAAATATAGATTTGTGTTGTCTGTTGCATTTTAAGGTGTTTCATTTGTATTTCACATCCTTTTTTATTTTACATGAAAAAAATTATGTCATTCACATTATTTAATGAATTAATTTATGCTTACATTTGATCATACTTTTATTTATTAATTGCAACGTTCCATGACTTATTTCATAATTTAATAACATATTTATTTAATTTAGTGTGTTAAATCCCTCCATATGTGTGCATACTGTTTTTAAAACACAAAGTTTATATAAATAAATGAATCAGTGTTATTTTAGTATCATTGAGATACTTTTATATATATATATATATATATTTTTTTTTAATTACTGTTAAAATTTTTAGTATTTTTCTTTTTGTCTTTTTTATGCATGTCTGTATAGTTTTGTTTGTTTGTTTGATTTTTTTTATTTCAGTTTTAGTTTTCAGTACATTAAGTTAAATAAAATTTTGCCTTGGCAACTAGCTAAAAATAAAATACGTTTAAGGGTTTTAATTTTATTTTAGATAAAGTTATTTTTGTTTCAAGTATTGCATTTTTTATGGCTTTAATTTTAGCCCTGTTCTGAACAAGCCAATATTTCAAATATGTCCAAATATCAATGCTTCAGATATTTCAAATGTTCCTGTAGTTCTGTGTTTAAGTGCATGTTCTTCATGCTCCGGACTCATTTAATGCTGTAGTTTATTGCTGCTCAGAGTGATTAGAGTGTGTGTGTGAGTTTGTGTGTGTGTGTGTGTGTGTGTGTGTGTGTTCAGTGTTGTCTTTACGTTGCCAGTGTGTGTGTGTTCAGTGTTGTCTTTACGTTGCCAGTGTGTGTGTGTTCAGTGTTGTCTTTAAGTTGCCTGTGTGTGAGTGAGTGAGTGAGTGAGTTTGTGTGTGTGTGTGTGTGTTGAGTGTTGTCTTTACGTTGCCAGTGTGTGTGTGTGTGTGTTCAGTGTAGTCTTTCCATCACATGACCCCAGTGAACTCAACCTCTTTATTTCTTTTTAAAGGAGAAGCATTTCTTCCACAAGGTCAATGAATGCCTGTCAAAGCCCAACATCTTCATCCTGAACAACCGCTGGGACGCTTCTGCTGCCGAACCCGAATACATGGAGGACGTGAGTTTACTCAGCTCACTACAGATTAGTGCTCGACCAGTATATATCACCAAGGCCAATATGACCAATATTAAGCTGATATATACACTGTTGCTAACTGCTTTCAGTGGAAACTAAAGTCTGCTTGCTAAATGTTATTAGATTATGTCATACTGGCAAGTCTTGGAAACTGGATAAGGTTTGTGCAAGTTACTAGATTTGTTTCGGCGACTTTTTTGAATGTCGATATCGTACTATTTAATTTAAAGGTAGTAAAAACACATGCATAATTGCTCAAATGGAATTTACATTTATTTTGCATAACATTTACTAAATTCATAATTATTATTTATAATAATTCTTGCTATTATACTATATTATCATAATTTAAAAATAAAAAATATGTCAAAAAACATCTGAACTTGATAAAAAGAATCTGTAAAATAAACAGATTTCTTTAGATGGGAACTACTTATTCTGTAAATCTATTCTAGTGTTTTTCATAAATAAAGGCCAATATATCCACCAATATTTGCCATTTATTAATTATCGGCATTGGCCAAGAAGTATTTCTGTTTGGCCAAAGAGTCAGAAGTGGGACTTTTATTTTGACAGTGCTGAGAAAGCATCACCAAATTTTAAATCCTTGTAAATTAAAGAAAATTTTAAACTATAAAATTAAAATGACCTTGTTGTTAACAAAATATTATTAACAATTTTATAATATTTTGTTAATAACAAGGTCATTTTAATTTTCAAGGATTTAAAATTTGGTGATGCTTTCTCAGCACTGTCAAAATAAAAGTCCCACTTCTGACTCTTTGGCCAAACAGAAATACTTCTTGGCCAATGCCGATAATTAATAAATGGCAAATATTGGTGGATATATTGGCCTTTATTTATGAAAAACACTAGAATAGATTTACAGAATAAGTAGTTCCCATCTAAAGAAATCTGTTTATTTTACAGATTCTTTTTATCAAGTTCAGATGTTTTTTGACATATTTTTTATTTTTAAATTATGATAATATAGTATAATAGCAAGAATTATTATAAATAATAATTATGAATTTAGTAAATGTTATGCAAAATAAATGTAAATTCCATTTGAGCAATTATGCATGTGTTTTTACTACCTTTAAATTAAATAGTACGATATCGACATTCAAAAAAGTCGCCGAAACAAATCTAGTAACTTGCACAAACCTTATCCAGTTTCCAAGACTTGCCAGTATGACATAATCTAATAACATTTAGCAAGCAGACTTTAGTTTCCACTGAAAGCAGTTAGCAACAGTGTATATATCAGCTTAATATTGGTCAACCTGCTCTGTAAGATATTGGCGTTGTTTATCAAAAAAAACTATTTCGGTCAAACACTACTACATGTTTTCCCAAAGCAAAATGAATGTATCTGTAAATATGTGACCCTGGACCACGAAACCAGTCATAAGGGTCAATTTTTCAAAATTGAGATTTATACATCATCTGAAAGCTGAATAAATAAGCTAGGACAATATTTGGTGGAGATACAACTACCGTATTGGCCCGAATATAAGACGACCCTGATTATAAGACGACCCCCCTTTTTCCAGATGTACCTTTTGGAAAAAGGCTTTTTAAAAACCAAATCTTGTTTTTTCTCAGTAAAACACATTTTGTCTTCAATTATTTTCATATTGCATATTTTTCCTATTAAAATTTTTGTTTTGAAAGTATGGTAAAAACTGGTAAAATGTACCAACAATCACATTTAAAAAATATACACTTTTTGATATACCATAAAAAAAAAAAAAACAGATAGCCCATCTGAATTAGGACATTTAGGCTATCCATCTAATAGTAGCCTACCAAAATCTTATTAACAGTAGAAGTAGAGTTGGTCCCATCAGGCTAACGTGACAGTCACGACTCGTGCAGCTGTAAGGTTTTCTTTTGCCTTTGTTTTTACTTGCGATCTTTACAACACGCAT